AAAAAAAAAAAAAAAAAAAAAAAAAACAAAAACAAAAACAAAAAAACCCTGTCTAGAAAAACAAAAACAACAACAAAACCCCAAAAAGCAAAAACACAGGCTGCCAGGCATGGTGTTGCATGCCCCAAATTCAGCACTTAGAGAACTAAGGCAGTAAGTTTATTACAAGCTTGAGGCAAGCCTGGGCTACATAGCAAGACTCTGTCTCAAGAAAATGAAGGGACTGGAGAGTTGGCTCAGCAGAAGAACACTGGCTTTTCTTCTAGAGGACTCAAGTCTAATTCCCAGCACCCACATGGCAGCTTACAACTGTCAGTAACTTCCAGGGGTTCCAACAATCAATCACCCTCTTGGCCTCAACAAGCAGCAGGCACACATTTGGTATACAGATATACAAGTGAAACACCCATACACAGTACACACAGATTATTTTAAAAAAAACAAACAAAACCTTATAGTTAATTTTAAAAGCAAAAAAGGAAATTTGTAAATCAGGAGAATGGAGGTAAATGTAGCCAGGCTCTCCCTTTGGGATTTCTGACTCACACTGTGATTCTGAGTGTTCTGGGCAAGCTCATTGAACACTTAGTGTTGTTAGAAATGGCCTTTCCTGAACCATGAATTTCTCACCTGCAGATCTTCAACAAATATAAAGAAGCTTGTTTGGTATCTCATCTTCGTTAAGAAAAGACAAAGGAAAATATGTTAACTAGGAAGAAAAGCTCTAATGAAAAGATGAGAAACAATAAAAGCAAAACAAAAATCTCTTCAAAGCTGAGAAACTAGAACTCTTTTTTGGTTTCTGTCTCTTCTGATTGTGAGTTCTTGCATAAAAGAAAGACACCAACTTCCCAACTCTTCCCCCTGTGCAGAGACTCCGGAATCAAACAATGGTGTGTATACATCCTTTATGAAGTCTCATCGCTGCTACGACCTGATCCCCACAAGTTCCAAGTTGGTTGTGTTTGATACTTCCCTGCAGGTGGGTGGAGCCCCTTTCCTCCTCTGCATTCTGAGGAGCCACTGGTTCAGTGCCCATCATCATACTTAGTACTTCCACATGCCAACCCCTTCTTTCTCACCACCTCATGCTCTCACTCTTTTGACTATAGGTAAAGAAAGCCTTCTTTGCCCTGGTGACTAACGGTGTTCGGGCTGCCCCTCTGTGGGATAGTAAGAAGCAGAGTTTTGTGGGTAAGCAGAAGTTTCTGGAAGACGCCCGTCGGCATCTTTTCCAGTCAGAGGGAGAAGCCTTGAACAGTGCTGAGGGCTCTTGTCTTGCCTTCTAGGCATGCTGACCATCACTGACTTTATCAACATCCTGCACCGATACTATAAGTCGGCCTTGGTAAGGAACCTGAGCTTCCAAAGCAAACCACATCCCTATCTTTGGTTGTTGCCTATGGGCCCCTCCTGCCTTGTTTTTTTCCCTCCAAGAAAAGAGTTAATGAAGAGGGGAGAGCAAGTCTCAGATCTGCTGCTTCTGCTTCTAGGTGCAGATCTATGAACTGGAAGAACACAAGATAGAAACTTGGAGAGGTACATAAAGAATTGGAGGTTGTGAAAGATGAAGGGATAAGGAGGGTTTCCTGGGAAACACTTTTATGTGGCAGTGTTTTGTGAACTACCCCCTTTCCCTTCAGAGGTATACCTACAGGACTCCTTTAAGCCCCTTGTCTGCATTTCTCCAAATGCCAGGTAAGTTAAGTTCTGGCTATGTGTTTATGTCTAAACACCCGAAGGCCCATGGGAGGGACATGAAAGAAGGAAAACTTCTTCCAGTGCATACAGCTATGCTTTTTTTGTTTTGGAGAAAAATGTCTCATACATAGCCAAGACTGGCCTTGACTTACTACAGAGCTCAGGCTGGCCTGAATTTAGGATTCTTCTGCCCATCCTCATACTGGCGTTCCAAGTACATCACCACCCCCAGCCACATCACACTACTTTAAGTCTGAGCACTGCCCCTTCCCCTGACCATGGATGTTCCCTGTCCATAAGCACACTCTAAGGAGCTGTACAGTTTGTCTGTAGCACTGTGGAGGCTGAGTATGACCTTCTACCTTTTCACAGCTTGTTCGATGCTGTCTCTTCATTAATTCAAAATAAGATCCACAGGCTTCCAGTCATTGACCCAGAGTCAGGCAACACCTTGTACATCCTTACTCACAAGCGCATCCTCAAGTTCCTCAAGCTGTTTGTAAGTGGACTTTAGCCCAGTTCCTTAGTCTCTTATCTGCTGGATTGGAGGCATGTATCCAACAGTTTGGGGGGCCTTAAAAGTCAAGGCAAGTCAGAGTTTTGGGTACTGAGGATTGAACCCAGCACATCATGCTCTACCACAGAGCTCCCTGAAAGCCAGTACTTCTGAAAGCCACTTCTTCCCTCAGATCACTGAGTTCCCCAAGCCAGAATTCATGTCTAAGTCTCTGGAAGAGCTACAGATTGGCACCTATGCCAACATTGCTATGGTCCGTACTACCACACCTGTCTATGTGGCTCTAGGCATCTTTGTACAGCACCGAGTCTCTGCCCTGCCTGTGGTGGATGAGAAAGGTGAGATATTGGGAAAGAAGAGGGAGGTTTCTAGGGGGTCAAGTGGCTCTGGGAAAACCTGCTTTCCCCTCAGCTCAGCCTAAAGGGTGAACCTATGGGTAGTAAGAGCTTTGGCTACCAGATTTTTGTTTTTTTTTGTTTGTTTGTTTGTTTTTTTTCTGAGCTGCCTCTGTCTTCCTAGGGCGTGTTGTGGACATCTACTCCAAGTTTGATGTGATTGTGAGTGACAGTGGAGGGGCTGGGAGGGAGGAGAAGGGGGGGTGTTGAATGTGGAGAGGGAACAAAAGGGGGCTGGCTCTTTGGTGTCAGATGCTTCTACAATTTGAACCCTATCTGGACAGTAGCTGAATGGACTGGTTGTGGCTTGTGGGCAGAGCTAAGGAGTGCCCTCAGTTCCTCTAGTGAGGTTGGGTTGGTCCAGGGCTTAGGAACTGGTCCCCTTTCAAGCCCATCTCCCCACCTCCAGAATTTGGCAGCAGAAAAGACCTATAACAACCTGGATATATCTGTGACAAAAGCTCTACAACACCGGTCTCACTACTTTGAGGGTGTTCTCAAGTGCTATCTACAGGAGACTCTGGAGACTATCATTAATAGACTGGTGGAAGCAGAGGTAGGAAGTCAGCCCCTCTCAAGCAGCTAGTGGGGAGTGGCCTTGAGAGTGGTGTTTTCAAAGAGGGCAGGGGCTAAGGCACTCATCCTAACTGAAGTTGGCACTCACATTACTTTTCGTTGCTCTGTGCCAGGTTCACCGTCTGGTGGTGGTGGATGAGAACGACGTGGTCAAGGGCATCGTATCGCTGTCCGATATCCTGCAGGCTCTGGTGCTCACAGGTGGAGAGAAGAAGCCCTGAGCGTGGGGAGGGACAGGCAGCGCCAGGGAAGATGGCCCCCTCACTGCCTCCTGAGAGCTCTGGGAATCAGATGAAATCCTGGAAGAACCGAGTGTGTTCCCTCAGGAGCTCCATACCCACTGTCTGGAACTAGAGGAGACCGGAGGTGGGGGGGAGAAAGGACTTTTAGCTTCCCTTACCATTATGTATACATTTGAGAAAATTTTTAGCCTAGCCAGCCAATCCTAGCACCTATGTCCTTAGACATATCTCCCTTCTGGGTGGACCATGGGCTTTGTGCTCCTCAGGCAAACTCTGATCTCTAAGAAACCCCTACATCTCACCGTGCCCCACCTCTGTCTCTGCCCTTATTCTACCAAGATAATAGCTCTACAAAGACTTCTTAAAAATATTTTTATTCATCCTGCTTCATTTGTGTGGAGGAGACTGAGTCCATTTAATGTTATTCCTTCCCATGAATCTTGTGGGGAGGTGCATGTCTGGGTTCCTGCACTGTTTGCATATGAAGGCAGATGGCTGTGGAGGAGGGCAATGGGTAGGTAGCCAAGATTAATGCATTTTGTGACAAACCTAATTAAATGACAAGATTTTCATCATGGTATTACAGTGTTTGATTTCTATATTTGATAGACACTATTTCGACAACCTTCCTACCTCATAAAGCTGCTTCAGCTCATTAATAACAACAGTAATAATACTACACATAAAAGTATATATTCTTAATGCTTTAACTACACAGGTTGTGTGGAACTGTAAGTGTTTTGGTTTTGGGAGAATTTGATTTTTTTTTTTTTGAAACCGCATTTTGTACCATATGTAGATCAGGCTGGCCTCAGATTTGCAGCAATCCTTCTGCTTCCACCTCCTAAGTACTGGGATTATAGGCACATGGTAATGCACCCAGGGTCAGACTTTTAAAAGAAATCTTTGTAACCTGTGCATGGTGACACAAGTCTTTAATTCCAGCACTCGGGAGGCAGAGGCAGGCGGATCTCAGACTTCAAGGCCAGCCTGGTCCACAGAGTGAGTTCCAGAGCAGCCAGGACTGTTACACAGAGAAACCCTGTCTGGAAAAACCAAAACAACAACAACAACAACAACAATCAACTTTGTGTATGTCTGTGTGTAGGCATATGGTAGCTAGAGAACACCCCTGGGTGACAGTCCTCACCTATCACCTTATTTGACACACAGTTTTGGTTTGATCTTCCACTTTTTGGGGGGTTTGAGATATTGTTTCTCACTGGCTTGGGATTTTATCACATAGGTAAAGTTGGCTGACCAGCAGTCTCCAAGGATCCATGGGGTTAAAAGCACATGCCACCATGTGTGTTTTTTATGTGGATTCTGGGGATCTAAACTCAGTTCCTCAAGTTTTCAAGGCCAGTGTTTAACCAGCTCAGTCATCTCCCCAGCATCTTTTCCACTTCTAGTTTTGTTGGTTGGTTGGTTGGTTTGGTTTGGTTTTTCAGGACAGAATGGGGTTCTCTGTGTAGCCCTGGCTGTCCTGGAACTCACTCTGCAGATCCCCCTGCCTCTGCTTCCAAGTACTATGATTAAAGTAGTACACCACCGCTGCCACTACCTGCCAGCAACATTTTCCAGTTTTATGAGAATTTAAAACTGAGGCACACGCTTAAAAGCTGACTCAGAGCTGGGGTGGGGGTGGGGGTGGCACATACCTGTAATCCCAGCACTCCAGAGGCAGAGGAAGGAGGATTTCTGTGAGTTTGAGGCCAGTCTGTCTACAGAGTGAGTGCCAGGACAGTCAGAGTTGTTACACAGAGAAACCCTGTCTCAAAAAACAAACAAACAAAAAAACAAAAAACAAAAAAAACAACCTCCCCCAAATTAAACACCCCAAAAGAAAGAAAAGAAAAAAAGCTGGCCCAGAGCCCTAGTAAAAAGTAAAGCTAACAGGTAAAGGCACTTGCCAGGCAAGCTTAGTTACCTGAGTTTAATTGCCAGAACCCATTTAAAAGTAGAAAGGGAACAGCTCCACAAAGTTGTCCTCTGACCTCCACGTGTACAGCATAGCATGTGCACTGACACACAACATTGTGCATATACATGAATAATTGTTTTTAAAGCAAAGCTGGTAAGCATGGAGGTAGATGTCTTTAGTTCTAGTACTTGTGAGGCAGAGGCAGAGGCAGACAGATCTTTTGAATTTGTGGCTAGCCTGGTCAACATAGTAAGTTCTAGATGCTATATAGTGAGACCATGTCTCAAAAAAGAAAGGAAGGAAGGAAGGAAGGAAGGAAGAAAGAAAGGAAGGGAGAAAGAAAGAAAGAAAGAAAGAAAGAAAGAAAGAAAGAAAGAAAGAAACTAGTATTTTCAGGACTGTTCCCAGCTTATTTCCTGTAGTTCCTCTTACCTTACTTTCCCCTCTGCCCGGGGTAAACTCACTAATCTGTCAGGTCTCCAGAAACTAAAGTGCTGATTAGGGTCTTTGGGCAGAGAGATCTGCCAACATCATCAGGAAAAGTTGAGTTGTTTGGATTTGGCTGGACTGGAACTCTGAACCCAGAGATCCCTTGCCTTTCTTCTAAGGTAGAATAAATCATGGAGGAAGAGAGAGCTGTAGTCAGCCCACTCGACCCACTGTCTGTGCTGAACCCACACAGACTGAAGGTAGCACTCAACACCACGAGGACTGCCAGACTGAGGACTGCCAGACTGGGTTCCTTTGCTGGTAGGATAATTTGCATCCAAGCCAGGAGTAGGCTCTGAACAATTCCTTGGCTCACCCTCCTCTGCCTATACCTTCAGAGGAACCTCTGCCATACTGCTCTTGTTCTTCCAAAGCAGGCTTCCTGATAGAACGCAGGAAGACATCAACACTTGTCGGAGGCCAGCTTTCAGTGATACCGTCGCCAGCCCAGCCCCTGCTTCTGCATTCAAATTGTCAGAGCTCTCAGCACATTCCCAAGCTTGGGGGAGGGAGGCTTCCAAATTATCAGAATTAGAGCATGTTTGTGTGTGGGGGTGGGTGGGAAGGACAAATGTCTCCTTGTGGCACATTCCTTCATCAAGGAGGATTTGTTTAGGGAGGAGGCAAGGCTTTAAAAGCTGTGGAAGTCTGGTGGACCTGGTGGAAAGCAGCACCTGGAAGCCGTCTTCAGGGCAGCTGGTAGGTGCAAGGACTCTCAAGGGGGGAGTGGATGGGACAACAGAGCAGGCGGGTTTTACTTGCCTCTTCCTCAGTGAGTCCTGTCTCAATCCTGTAGCAACCCTTTTGGTCCCTGTCCCCTTAAAAAGAAGTCTCTGTACCCAAATGTTCCATGTACTTTTCTGAGATACAAACTGGGATCTCTTGTTTCTCCCTTTTACTCCCCCAAACCCCCCACCAAGTCTCCATCTGAGGACAGTGCTGAAGATGCAAGGGATACAATTCGGAAGCAACCAGGCTTCTGTTCTTAAAAGTCAGGAGAAGCAATTGGTCCCTTCTTTCTCAGGAGCCATTGCCACCCTCTTTCCCCCTCCCTGCACCCCTCCCCTCCACTGAGCTGCTGCCATGGTTGCCAGGCATGGTTGCTAAGTCTCTGCATGGAAGGGCTGGCGTGGGCTGTGCTGCCACTAACATTACCATGGTGAATCAGGGGACACCTGGTACAGGCTTAGGGGGAGGAATCTGAGGATGCAAGCAAAAACCCCCCAGAACAGAGTGAACCCAAAAGGTGAGCTGCACTTGAGGGTGGCCAAGTGAAGTAGACAGTCTTGAGTGGGGCCCCATTCTAGGCAAGAGAGGCCACTCTTCCTTTCTGTTGCTAGGGGATTTAGCTGTACCACAAGAGCACACCATTCTTCCTCCATCCCCCTCTGTTAGGGCACAAGTGTATATAAGCACTCTATCTGCACCCCACATAAGGCTTGGTAGAGCTGTGTGGGCACAGAACTGTGTAATCCTAGAATCCTGGCTTCTGGGTTAGGGAAGCCAGCATGCCCAAGGGCATCCATATCTAGAGTGTGAGTTGTCCTGCTGCTTAGATGACCAGGACAGACTTAGTTCTGCCTTACAATCAGCAGAGAAAAAGATGAGGAGTAAAGGGTACAGGATCCACCTTGCTGGGGGGCGGCGCTGGGGAGCAGCTGTCCCCCAGAGTCGCACAAAAGCTTCCTGAAAGCGACCGACCGCCTCTCCACTGCTTGAACTGGTTACTCATCTCATCCGCACCCGAATGCCACTGACGCTAAAAATAGCCCGCCCCCCCAGCTGTGGGCCAGCCTCTCTTGCACCCCAACCCCATGGAAACCAGCAGAGAGTGGCAGGCAGAGACCTTGAGTTCTATTCTCACCACTCCCTGTCGGAGAAAGGAGTCCAGGCAGGCAGGCAGGCAGGCAGGGATAGATCACTCACTGGTGGTCAGGCAACCTGACAAGCAGGAAAGCAAAGGGTTAAAACTTCGGGCATGGAGCAGAAGTCGGGGCTGGAGGAGGGGGCACTACAGTAAGCTTGGTAAGAATCAGAAGTCAGCCCCCCACCCCACC